CCTGCACCACCTCCATTGCCTCCTCCAATACCACCGCCTTTTCCACCTCCAATGCCTCCACCACCACCGGCTCCTCCTCCAACTCCACCTCCTGCACCACCTCCTATGCCTCCACCAGTACCACCGCCTTTTCCACCTCCAATGCCTCCACCACCACCGGCTCCTCCTCCAACTCCACCTCCTATGCCTCCACCAATGCCACCACCTTTTCCACCTCCAGCACCACCACCTATCCCTCCACCGCCACCGGCTCCTCCCCCAACTCCACCACCACCACCAGCTCCTCCTCCTTTGCCACCACCTCCACCTCCTCCTACACCTCCACCTCCACCACCGCCTTTTCCACCTCCAGCACCACCACCGGCTCCTCCCCCAACTCCACCGCCTTTTCCACCTCCAACTCCACCACCAACTCCTCCCCCTTTGCCACCACCTCCAGCACCACCACCAACTCCACCACCTATGCCACCGCCTTCACCTCCTCCTACGCCTCCACCAGCACCACCGCCTTTTCCACCCCCACCACCAGCTCCTCCCCCAAATCCTCCACCTCCACCTCCACCTCCTTTTCCACCTCCAACACCCCCGCCAACTCCGCCACCTGCACCTCCACCTATACCACCGCCTGCACCACCTCCACCTCCTCCTCCTCCACCCACACCTCCACCTGTACCACCTCCTACGCCTCCACCAAAACCACTGCCACCTCCAGCTCCTCCACCCCCACCAAATCCACCACCTGCACCTCCTCCAACTCCACCACCCTTGCCAAACCCTCCACCTTCACCAATGGTTTCCTTCTCAACCCGTCTTCCCTCCACAATTCCCACCACAAACAAAACCATCAAGAAAAATATAAAGAATACTCCAACATTCTTAAAGAACTTCCCCATCTTTAACTCGAAAGAGTGCAAGAAAATAAATGGCAGATGTTATTTGTTGTGTATAAAACCAGTGACAAGCCTTTTTATAGGGGGAAAAGTGGGAGATGCTCTTAAATGCATGCAGTTGAAACAGTGACTTTCTTCCTCTGTTTGAGCTAGTTTTTCAAACTCACTTTGACCTGGGACGATCATGGCGATACAGCTATAATGTTACCGTGTTCCAACTCTCAACCACCTGAAAATTTCCAGTCATTTTCATGCAACACAAATTAATTTCATTTCTGACTTTTGGCAAGGAAAAACAGATTGTGGTGATGACTGCCAGACACCTTTTTGCAAGGTATGAAAGGATTTTCCTATCATTTATGTCACTCTTTACCATTTAAGCTATATGTCAGTGACAAAAGAAAAGATATTGTCACCGTGGAAAATTTCCCAAGTGTAGAGTTTTTGCTTTGTTGCCGACACCTAAATTTTTAAGACTCTTTGAATTTTTTAGTAAATCTTTCACTCTTGTTTCTCTTAAAAAATTTGGAAACTTTTCATTAAAAAATTCAGGAACTTGGCAAAATGAAAAAGATTATTTGTGATCTTGCAGGTCTATTTTTATTAGTTTCTTATGAATATTTAATTTATCAAATTAAATTCAATTCGTTTGAAATTGTGAATCCTGGACACAATCTTGCTAGATATGGAGAGCCCCTTGCCTCGCCTTTTCTGGCCTCTCCTTGCTTGCTTGCCTAATTTATCTTATTTTCAATATTGAATCAGTATAAAATGTTCCTATTTTGGAAATAGGCACCCACGTGTAATTGTCCGTCAGGGATTGCAGAGCAGGGTTAAGAAATAGCAAGTACAACGGGAAGTTCTTAGAACTAGAAGACTTTAGTCTGGTAATTTGTTACATAAAGGGAAGCATAAACCCCTAGCTAGTTGGTTGATGAGATGAACTGCTGTGGAAAAAGCATCCCACCAGAACTTTAGAGGAAGTGATCAGGAACGGATCTGGGATCGAATTACAAATCGGGCTAATACGAAAAAAATAAAATAAAATCACACATGAATTCTTTTTTACATAAAAAAAGAAGAAAAAATTCTACCAAAAAGAATTCCGTGGGCTAGGGAATGCCCGGCCCAGTCCCCCTACATCCGTCAGCGGAAGTGATGCTTGTATGAGGAGTGTTAGACCGGCCTTCATTACGTGTCTAAGCTTTCTTTCTGCATTTCCTTTACGTGATGAAAGGGCCTTCGATATTCACCTCCCAGTCATTGTATGCGAAACTGAATGAAGGTGGATATGACATATTCGACAAGTGGATCGGGAGTTGAAGCGGCCACTGTATGTACCACCACGACCTCGTCCGTGAACTAGAACTGCTAGGAACTATTTTTGTTTATCATTCTTGAACTGTGCGCTTAATTATTTCTTCCAGTATTGTTTATGCAGTTGGTTTAATTTATCTATTTGTGTTGAACTTTATATTTAGAAATTTCGTGATCAAGATCAAAACCTTAGGTGATATGACTTTTTTATTTTAAATTAGAAGATTTGAATATTTAAGATTTAATTTAATGGTCACCTCCATTATATTTTCGATTGAAGGTTTAAAGTCCTTAATTGTTCGAGTCACGATATTTGAAGACTAAATAACAGTGTTTTAAAAAGCGTAAACCGTGGCTAGATTGGAGGCCAAGGTTCAAGCTTTACGAGATTAGACGAGGCACGTGCGTAAAAAAGTGTTTTGTTCGACACTTCAACTAGATGAAAAAAAATGTGATTAGATATCTATGGAATTTTCACTGGGCAGTGTCTGTTAACACTCGAGGTTCAATCTTATAAGATCAATCTTGTTAAAAGGAGTAGTCAAATTATTTATAAATTTGTCTATATTTTCATCTTTAATCGATATGAAATTTTATCCCTTAACATGGTCCCGCAAAGTGGTGGCTTGTTTGAATGGACCAATCTTGAAATTTGCTTATTCATTTTTTGAGTCATAATCGAATCGAATTGTTTGTTAGAGTTTAATGGGTTCTAATATTATATTAGAAGTCTAGCTATTCTGTCTCTTTTCCCATTTTTTTTTCTCTTCTGGGGTTCTTGTTTATCAAAATTATATTTGTCGATTGAGATTCAATTTTTGTATCTAATGAGCTCGTTAGTTGTACTCATTCCTTGTAAAATTGTTTAGAATTCTATTTCCTTTTCTTTTTAAAATTTTTTGCAATATTGATCGAGAATAAAGCTTACTCGGTAAAGAGAGTGATCCCAATATTGTTTATGAGGAAAGAAATTATGAAAACAAATGAATTTGATGTTTTAAAAAAAAATGCTTAAAATGGGTCGGTGATCTTGGGGAAAATGAATTTTTTCCAAAAAAAAAAGTCTTTAATTATTTGTGTGATTTGTTTGTACTTTAAAACAATATTTTAAAATGCGCGACAAAGTGAGGAGACCAAGTTTCGACTGAGGTGAGTCTAGGTTAAAAGTTTTTTTTATTATTTTAAAATTTTAAATCAATCTAAAAGTAATTAAAGAAATAAGCGTGCCTAAATGCAATTAGGGTTCGTTTAATTCAAATATGAAATTTGGGTGGAAAGAAAACGAATTGCAGGAAATTGAATTACCTATAATTTGTTTTGCTGGAATTGTTAATTAATTGTGTTTGATGGTATAATTTTTCACCTGAAAAATGTTGAAATTTTTTTATCATTTGGTGTTCGTTTGACTTTGTTTTCATGAAAATTGTCAATTAGAAGGATAAATTTCTTACAAGGATATAATTTGTTTAGATTGTCTCAAAAAAAAAATTCCAATTTTTTGTGTTCGTTTAGCTTTATTTTACATGAAAATTGTCAATTAAATGGACAATTTTTTTGTTATAATTGATGATAAATTTTGTTTCTATTGACAAAAAAAAAAAAAGATAGAAAACCAAAAATCACATAAAATGTGATGTGGGAATTGAAACTCAATTAAAACCAAATGTGTCACGTGACGGCAAATGTAGAAAACCAATTCTTGGGGAAAAAAAAGTTATCATCATACATGGCAAAAGTGGAAAATGGACATGGAAAAAAATGCAAAGTTACGGATATTCATTTACAATTTTTTTAAAACTTTTATTGTATTACTGCTTTTTTATATTTATTATTATGTATTTAAAGAGAGGAACAAAATCATCATTTAGTGAATTTGATGTAAAAAAAAAAAATGCTTCGGTGAGCTTGGGGAAAATGAAAATTTTAAAAAAAAAAAAAAGCATTTAATTATTTTAGTGTGATTTATTTGTACTTTAAAAAGTTATGGAATTTCATTTACAAATTTTTCTTAGTTTTTATTATTTTATTGCCTTTTATGTTTATTATTTTTTATATAAAGAGAAGAACAAAATCGTCATTTATTGGTCAAAATAGAGAAAATGGCGGATTTTATCGTATAATTGATAGGCTGGGATGTGTTATACTAAAAAAGATTAAGGGTTGATTTGTTACATTTCGAAAAGATTGGAATGAAAAGTGCAAATTCGAAAACAAAAAAAACAAGTTCTACGCCAGCGGTCTACCAAACACAGCCGGTCCAAAGAAATATCAAATATTTCACGCGGTGGCTGTGACTTGTCCATTTCATTTAAACTCAATATTCGCGATAACTGAAACAAAAAAATTGCAATTTGATTTTTATTCAGATCGAACTTACTTTTAGAGTAGAAAGAACAAAAAAAAAGTCAGGTATGTATCCTATCTTAATTAATTTTTTGCGATTAGATTTACTTTGTTGTTTTATGATCTTAACGTTTCTGTTAATTATATGTGCTTCTGTAAATTGAGACTGAATTTTTTAAATTTTTTGTGATTGTTCTTTTTTGCCTTTTCTAATGAGGTAAAGCGATGGATTCTATTTTTAGATGTTAAATTAGGTTGTAATTTGAAAGGATTTTAATTCGAAGTCATTTTATTTTCAGATCGTGGACAGTTTTTTGAAAATCCGTTGACTGGTTCTCGATGTTTGTGATATGTGACTTAGAATAGCATTTAGTGCTCTGGATTCCGATCAATTATTGCTGGTTTTCTTGTAGAGGTTAAGATTTTTGAACTGTGTGTTGTAAAAGTTCAATGGCAAGGATCAAACCTCAAACTCTGTTACAACAAAGCAAGAAGAAGAAGGGACCAAGTCGCATCAGTGTTGCTACCACTGCAATTTATGGCATCGTAGTAGTTGGAATGGTGCTTTTCATTTTCGCCACCTGCAGATACTGGTCTAGAAGGTTTGTGATTTTTTTGGTCTTTTTTACACTGTTAATTCAGTTGCAGTTGCATTGTAAACTGCTCATTTAGTGATCTGGATTCAATGCGTCTTTATGAAATTTTGGAATTTATTATAATTTGGTAAAAAATAAGAACCTCTGTAGCACGAACACTTCAATTAGGGAAACGACGAGTCGATATCGACACTTTTCAGACACTCTACCGTAATTATTTTTCTTTTTATATTAGAAATATTATATATTATTAATTCAAAGTTATTAGCAAGTAACAAATAAGTACTCATGTTACAAGAAAAATTAATAACAAGTATAAAACTAAATTTATACTATGTAAATGAAAAATTTTAAAGAATTTAATCCATGTGTTCATGGCATGTCATATCTGTATTTTTTTTAAAAATTGTGTGTCGGCGTATCCGAGACGTATCATGTCGGACACATGTGTCCGTGCATCATAGGTTGAGGGGTTGCGACATTTATGTGAATTCTCACTGTCTGTAAAACACTATAAGAAACACTGCCATCGATTTTTTTAAGCTTCTGTTGTTGCTCATCGATAAACCATTCTCCTGTCTTGTCAGCTCCCGGAGCCAAATACACGGGTCCTTCAATACCAAATCTGCACACAGAAATTGAGTTAATGTCATGATCACAACCACATTCAACCACTATGAGAGTGCATCTTTCTCTTCGGGTGGCAAACAAGTTGGCTCTATCAAGATGTGCTCCGATACTTCAAACTAAATCAAAGTGGCATTTTAATCAGGCATTCGTGCAAGATGTACACCACATCAACGTAACCTCTGAATATAAATATGGATGTCTACAACAAAAGTGCAGTTATATTCCATTTTCAAAAAAAAAAAAAAAGGGCAAAGCATCATTTCATTGTCTATATAAACGTGAAAATGGTCCTACATTTATTTAAGTTCATGCTTAATGCATGGCTTCATTAACAGTGAAAAATCACCCTTGAAACGACTTTAACTTCTTGTCTAGTAATGGCCTCAAAATTAAGATAATGATGGGAAAAGTGAATGACATCTGATAAAGAATGCATATAAACTTCACAGACGCAAGAGAGTAATCATTACTTGGGTACAAAAACAATGAAGCCATTTGATCTTCATTTCACTATTCTGGCCTCTGCATCTGTGGACCTGCAAGAACGTGGAAAGCATTTAGACAGTGTTACAAGAGTAAACATATAATACCCTAATGTATAGAATGTTATCTATAGGGACTTGTCTTGTAAATACTATTAGACTTGTGTATATATGTAAACCTAAAGGATTTATGTATGAATAAGAAAAACAATAGAATTCCCTCTCCTGTCTCTCGTGAACGATTACATGGTATCAGAGCTGCTGTCACGCCGTCCTCTCCTTTGTAGTCCCCGCTGCTAGTTGTTACAAGAGTAAACATATAATACCCTAATGTATAGAATGTTATCTATAGGGACTTGTCTTGTAAATACTATTAGACTTGTGTATATATGTAAACCTTAAGGATTTATGTATGAATAAGAAAAACAATAGAATTCCCTCTCCTGTCTCTCGTGAACGATTACATGGTATCAGAGCTGCTGTCACGCCGTCCTCTCCTTTGTAGTCCCCGATGCTAGGGCTCCGTGCAGCAGTCGCCGGCGCCGTGTGCGAGCTGCTGTGTTTCGCCTGTCAACCGAGCTACAGTAGCCAGTGTCGGACTTGAGCTGCAGTTACGCCGTCCTCTCCTCTTCGCGAGCTGCAGTAGCCGGTGTTCCTCCGCTTCCGTCGCTTCTTTCGTCGCGAGCTACAGTAGCCATTTCTAACGGGCTTTCACCTGGGCTGTTTGTTGGTCTTCTGCATTGAGTTTTTGGGGCCTGTTGATTGGGTTCTACTGTGCCCAGCTCGTTTACAGCCAGTTCTTGGAAGTGTGGGTGGTTTGCGATTTGTAGGTTGTTACCTGGAACCTGCAGTCTTCTGGGAGTGACAGGTTCGGGTTCTTCAAGTATTTTGTTATTTGTTGTGATTGTTTCCTCTGTTATTCATTTGATATTTGATAAATGGAGGATAAGACGTCTATGGTTAGTCGATGTCAACTCTTCTCGAACACTCTACCGTAATCATTTTTCTTTTTGTATTAGAAATATTATATAGTGTTAATTCAAAATTATTAGCAAGTAACAAATAGATACACATGTTTAAAAGATTTCAACAAGAAAAATTAATAACAAGTATAAAACTAAATTGATACTATATAAATAAATTTTTTTTAAAGAATTTAATCAACGTGTCGATGACGTGTCGTGTCTGTACTTTTTTTAAAAATCACGTGTCGGCGTATCTGACACGTGTCGTGTCGGACACACTTGTCCGTATCGGTGCATCATAGGTAAGAACGAATTGAATTCTCTTTTGAGTTGTATTTCCCTTGACATCCCTACTCTTGTCAATTTAAAAGATTTATAATTAAGATCGATGGGTTGAATGTAGTACTATAGATGTCGTAGTATGCTTGTTTGTGTATACATATTAGATTGTGGAATCTTAATGCAGATATTTACCGGTGAATATTTCAGTTGAAGATTTTGTTTTTGGATGGAAGCGATCAAGAAATGTGCTGGAAATAATAATTCTTTGTGATATACGAGATGTTACCAAATTTAAGGATATTTTTTCAATTGTATGTACAATAATTACGTATGGACAGTTTGTTATTGAATGAGCAGTCAGATACTGGTCTAGATGGCTTGTGATTCTTTGTCTTTTTTGCATTCTGTTAGTTCAGCTGCAGTTGCATTGTAAGGTGCTCATTTAGTGATCTGGATTTAATGCGTCTTTATGACATTTTGGAATTTATTATTATTTGGCTAAAAATAAGATTGGGTTGAATTCTCTATTGGAGTTGTTCTCCCCTCGGCATCCCTACTCCTGTCAACTTAAAAGATTTATAATAAAGGTCGACGGGTTGAATAATATATGTCGTAGTACGCTTGTTTGTATATACATATTAGATTGTGGAATCTTAATGCAGATTTTTACCATTGAATATTTCAGTTGAAAATTTTGTTTTTGGATGAAAGGGATCAAGAGATATGCTGGAAATAATATTTTTCAGTGATATACTCGATGTTGCCAAATTTAAGGATTTTTTTTCAAATTGTATGTAATATAGCTTAGTTCTGGGAAATGGTAGTCCTTGAAAATATATTTTTGTTATGTTCATAATCCTCGTGTTTCTCTCTGTTTAGGTCAAATTTCCAGATGGAGGATGCATTATCAGCTGTAGAGGTATGATTTTTTCCCCCACAAATTTCTTTAGCTATTTCTTCCTTTTGTATACATTTAGAGTATGTTTTGCTAAGAGTTTCTAGCTGTTTATAAACGCCTTGGTCAAATAATACTTTTGGTCAAACATTCTAGGGTCCACAAATACTATCCACGAATCCACTACTCATTTATCCATGTTTATAAACACCTTGCCAAGCATACCATTAGTTATTTACTTGCTAGGTAAACCATTTCTAAATAAAAATCCAATGTGATTATCAACTAGATTTATACTTCACTTCTCTTGATATTGATAATTGCATTGCCTCTATGTATGATTTTCTTTTCATACTGCAACCATCGGTAATGCCATTTTCTATGTTTATTTTTCAAATGATTTGAGTTTTCTACCCTTCCTTTCCTGCAGCAAGATAATGCTTTTGACGATACAAAGAAAGTTGACATCCCTAAATACGCTGTAAGTTCCTTGATATGGAAGATAATCATTACTTTTGTACTCTTCTTCTATAAAGTGGTTAGTTAATTGTGTGGAATTGTAGTTTTGTTGATGAGATTTAGACTTCTATAGTGAATGGCAGAACACTTTGAGCTTTATATACCAAGCAATGAGAAAAATCCACTTCTCATTATATTATGCTGTCCTCAGTGTTTATTAGACTTCGGTCAGTGCTGCAAGCATCTATGTGAATGTCATTTCTCTACTAGGTAATAGATTGTACTCCACTTCCAGTTGTTATCTGCAGTAAATGCTGCCAGATGTATATCAAGGCTATATTTTGTTGGAAGGATAATAAAAGAGTAGAGTAGGGATGGATAAGTGCAGCATGTATTTTCTGAAGAATTATACTTTTCCTCCTACTGTCATTCCATACTAATGATAAAATATCTGCCCTTTCACTTTCATCCTTCCATTTCATATCCACACGTATTTTCTGCCCTACCAAGCAGATTCTGAACGAAATCCAATGTTTCATTTGGTGGTTTTAAACTTCCACACTATTTTTTTCTATTTCTCTTTTTATTGTTCTTTATTTTTCTTTTCAGATAGTATGATAACTTAGTTATATGACAACAGGTGATAAGTACCTCAAAAGGCTTAATAACTGTGGAAATTTACAATGAGGGTTCTCCTGAGGTTGTCAAGCAATTTGTTGTCTCATGGTATGTATTAGATCAGTCTTTTTATTTATCAATCACATTAGTGTCTTGAAAATATGTCGGTTATAGTTCTGTTGCCTAGTTTTTGCTTCTATCATTGGTTTTTTGTTTTTGTACCTGTACTGTCAAGAATCTGATGCTCCATTATCTGTTAAAGTTACACTGGTCAATGAAAAGATGGACCTATCCTCATAATGATGTTACCTTGAAAATCAAAAGGTAGAACTACTGATAGGCTGTGGCTTGCCTTTTGAATTGTTGATAGAAAATTTTATTAACGTGAATGTACAAGTATGTACACAATGAACTTGTTAACATAAGCTATTGAGTCAAAATGAACAAAACTATGGGCCTTTAGACTTCTGGATGGTGATGCCACGGTCCTGAGATTTTCATAATTACTGAATATTGCTGGATCATTTCAAGGAGAGATGGGAGGGTTTATTCCACACTCTTCTACTGTCAAATATAAATGTTGTAACTTGTTCATTTATCTAATTAATTAATTTGTTGTCAAACTCTCCAACTCTTCTCAGAAAAGGGTGGAAGAGCCATGAGGTACAAAGTTGATTTGCTTCAGATGCCTTTTTTATTCTTTCAAACTTTCGTTTTTTAGTACTTATTGAACTTTTTCATTTTGAATGCTCTAGAAGGGCATTATTAAAACCCCGATTAGGATATATATTAACCCCAACGAATTTGCAGCTTGAAGGGGCGCTTTAAAGGAATGTTCTTTAACCGTGTAATAAAGAACTTTGTCATTCAAGGAGGTGATGATGATAATGCTGGAACTACTGAAGATTGGACTTTGAAGGGAAAGCATTATAGTCATCTTGATACCAGGTTTGCTCCACCTCCATGTGCTGCTTTGAAATCTTTTAGTGATTAATTTGTCATGGCTAAAAGCTTCGCCTTCATTCTTGATCCAGCCTGAAGCATGAAGCTTTTATGCTTGGCACTTCTAAGACAAAACACGATGGGGGCAGATTCGATCTTTTAATTACGACTGCACCAATTCCAGACTTGAACGAGAAAGTTAATGTATTTGGACGTGTCATCAAGGGAGAAGATGTTGTACAGGTGACATCTTAGTTATTATTTGTTACTTTTTTTGCTGCTTCGAGAACCCACTCAGACCGGCTGTTCTGAGTGGAAATTACCGTTCATACATTATTGAGCCTTAAAACTTAATGGCTGAAATAGCCCCTTCCCCAAATTTTTCTCCACATTTTAAAATAATTATTGCACGATCTTCTGGCTGACTATTTGAACCTTGTATTGCTTGCTTGTGCCTTGTCCTGCCTACAATCTGAAATTTTTTTGGAGGCACATAAAGCTGCTCTTTCTGTTCCTACTTTTCTCCTCTGCCATTGTTTTACATATCATTACATAGCATTTCTGAAAATTATTGATGCTTTTTAAGATTTAAAATCAAATCTTGGTAATCCAGCATTTAAATGATGCTACCATATTACCCCTTGTTGGATTAACCAATGTCTTCGCTCTATCATATGCTATTCAGGAAATCGAAGAGGTGGACACAGACGAGCATTATCGACCCAAACAACCAATAGCTATCATCGAAGTGACTATAAAACAGAAAATTTAGAAGAAGTAATGTTCCTCTGACAGCTTCTCATGTCAAACGATATAAGCATTTAATGTTGAAGAAAGAAAGCCTCTTAATGAGTGTGGATTTGTTCACTCGGAATTTTCCTTGCGATTTCTTGTTTCTTGGAATTACATTACGCAGCTTAGAGTCCTGATAGAAAAAAGCTTGATTTTACCCTGTTTGTTTGTATAATTTTCTTCGGTTTTTCCACACAATTTGCTTCAGCCTTCTATATTTCTATCTGTAGATTATTTCATGGTAGGCAGTTTACATACCAGGTATTGTCTTCAGAGAAATTTGTTGATCCTTACTTTGTACCTATTTTGCAGTGTACTTCAAGATGAATATCAATTCTTGGATTATTCAGACTCTTTTCGATCCCCACCTTTTGAAAAGGCTTAAATCGTGTGTGCTTCAATCAACTTTAATGAGAACAGTTAGACATTGAGCTATCATTTGATAAAGATTTTTTGAGTAGTGATTCTTTGAAGAAAAAATAAATAAAGAATTGAGAAGGTGTTTTAAAAAAGTACGGAAAATTATGTAGAAACATGGAAATTGAGTTTTTTTTTATATAATATATGTTTAAAAATATGTTTAGGAGAAAAGTGATTCTCAAATAATCAAAATCAAACAAGGGTTGAGATACATTTTGTATTAGGACTGTTAATGACGGGAATTGAAGTAATATTAACGTTCATGTGTTAATGCATAATCCTTTTTGATCAACATGCAGGCAGAACCAAACACCGAATTAGATAGTATTACGGTGGATGATATTGATTTATTTTTCATTTAAAAGAAATCATTTACTAAATCTTCTTTGTTCAGTCTAAACTCACCTCAAATCTTGATAGAGTAATGCTACTCAATTCCACTGATTTTTTAACTTGTCTAGACGACATCAGTTCTATCTTTTTTTATTTATGATTCCTTTTATAGAACTTATACCATATTTCACCTTCATATTATGTTATATGATTGATAATATAAATGACTATTTCTTGAAGAAAAAATTAAATATCGTCCACCTTAATTCACCATAAACATATCAGTATCAATATCCATTGTAATTTTATATTAAATGATTTAATCTTGTGTGCCAAACGTAGCTTTAGTATTTAGTCTTTGTTTGGCTTCAATTTTTTTTATTTTTCTTTAATTCAATTTTAACCCCACATTTTATTGTGTGGTCCACAATTTTATCAACTTTTTAATCGTATATTTTATCATCTTTATTAAATTTGCTAAATATCTGATTTTTAGCCAAACAAAAAATGGGCTTATTTAAGGGTGGCAAAAAAACTCGACAAACCCGATATCAACGTGGCCCCGCCCTGAACCCGGGGCGGGGATAACCCGCTTAATCGGGTGACGGGGCGGAGAATTTTGCCCCGGGACGGGTAATGGGAGCCCCGTCCCTTAATTTTTATTATTATTATTATTATTATTTTAGAATTCAATAATTTAAATGAAAATTTTCATTAGTTCTAATAGAAAATAGCAACTAAATTATTTGTCTAAATCTAATGAATATGGATAATAAAAGTAAACTTTCAAAAACTAAAAAAAAAAATTTAAAAGGGGAGTAAACGGGGAAAGGACTCGCCCCGACCCGACTTGCCTTAAACGGGTAACGGGGTGGGGACGGAGAATTTCTTAGCAGGGCGTGGAGTGCCTCCCGTCCCGTTCTCATCCCTAGGCTTATTTTCTATTTTGAAGGAAATTCAAAATGTTGAGGGCAATTTGGTCTTAAGAAGATTTAATCCACCCGTGGATGAATCCGTTGACCGGGGCAAAAGGATTCGGCCGAAGGAGAGCTTGAAGCCTACGGCAATGGCTAGTTCGCACCAACTCTCCTTCTCTTTACCCTCACTCTCCTATCACAAAATCAACCACAGAAACTCTTCTGCTCGATTCAATTGCTTTTCTACCGTACAAAAATCTGTATGAATTTCTCAATCTGTTTTCAATTCTTTCGCTTCTACAATCTAGTATATTACTAATTTTTTCTTCATTAATATGTTTTTCATTTTTGAAAACAAAATCACAGCTTGAAGCAACAGAAACAAAATCAAGAACTGAATACAAGCCAGGAATCCTCGATAATGTTTTCCTCAATTTGTTCCGTAAGAAAATGGTTCAGGTATTTTTCAGTTCGTCTCTCCTTTTCCTGTTTATTTTCAGTTAAAAGCTTGGAATAAATTGGGAGATTCTCCTATCATGTTGCGTAATTAATGGTTTTTAGACAACTATTTTACTTAAAAATGTGCTTAAAAACACTTTTTTACAACTTAATTTTATTTTAAATTAATCATTTTTTCTTGGTGCCAGTTGGAAATAAGTTGGTTACATAAAGTATGGTATAAAGTAACTTTTATTGCTTGATATTGAGAAAAATAAGTAAATAATTCTAACATGTTTTGAGGCAAAAAGCTTTTAAAAATTCTCTTTAGCCAAGGCTAAGCATATAACCACTGTTGATGGTTTTAGTAATTAACAGGAGATTGGATGGGACTCGGAGAAGCCAGGATACGATGGATTAATCGATGTTGCGCATCGTATAATGATTGGTCGATCCAATGCTGAAGCTACTGAATCCGCGGTATCCACCATTTCCGCTGCTTTAATTTATTCCTTTATCATCACAAAAAATGATTAATGCTATCGGTGTCGACAAAATGCTTGGTCGGTGAGTGAATTGAGAGCTTTATTTCCTCCATATGGATTTGTGGGCAGGTCCGGATATTAAGAGCTTTATTTCCTCCATTATTGTTAGAGCTCTACAAAATGCTCATTGCACCTATAGCTGGGGGCAAGGTAGCTGCTATAATGGTTGGTGAGTGAATTGAAGTCTCTTTGCAGTAATATTCTATAAGCTATACCTTGGTTTCTAAGCATGTTTGGATATATTACCCTTGTAAACTTTTGCTTATTTTTGAACTTTGATCAACAAAAAATATTATTATATTAAGAACTTATTTACTTATAACTAAACTTTTGAAGCTTAGACAAACTACACATAATGGAAAACCAAAAACTTTTTACTAATTCACTGATGTATGGTGGTAAGTATCTTTCATTGTTGTGATCTTCATCCTATAAAATCTAATAGTGTACGCACTTATTGTCGTTGACTGGGTAGTTTTTTAACATAAAACTCTACTTAATCCAATGGGAGTAGGCATGAACTCAGTACCATTTTGTTGTGAAAATACATACACCCGAAAACTCGACATCCAAAAACCAAGAACGTTCATGGAAACTACCATCTAGTTGGTAGTCTTGTTTGATAAATTTTTTTGGTATGTGTAACTTTATTCTATTCATTCAATCACAATGCATTATTCATTTACCAAAATTATCAGAATGATACTAATAATGATGTATTATGGGTATTTACCAATTACCATTTAATTTAATTGATCTCGATGTTCTTTTTGGAAGCACGGGTGACTGCTGTTTCTTGTCAATGGCTCATGGGACCATGTACTGTTAACACTGTCAATCTACCTAATGGATCCTCATTGTCTAGCGGGGTAAGATTGTGATTTAAGCGCATATTGGTACACAGAACTGAACATGACACGACAATATTAAAGAAGAATATTTAGATTTCTAGGGATTGATTTGTGCTGTTTACTAGTAGTTGACCGATATTGAGTAATTGGTATATTCATGTAGGTGTTTGTCGAGAAATGCAAGTATTTAGAGGAGAGCAAATGTGTAGGTGTATGCATCAATACATGTAAGCTTCCTACACAGGTTGGTGACTGGCACTTGGCGTCTGCATTTTCATCCTTCATTGCATCTTTCCTACGTAAATTGTCATGAATGACTAAATCAACTAGATCGTTAGCAAACCATGCTAGTTGCAATCTAATGCTCCATCTTCTGACTTGCTCTATTGAGATGTCCCAACCATCTTCTGACTTATATAAAACGTGGTCGTTTTCTATAAGTAAAATGAACCAGCAATTAGGTAAACTATGTTTCTTCAGTGGAATTTGATAGAGCGCGTCTAAGTTCTACTCTATATTGTGAAGTACATTTGCTAACATTTGGATGACCAAGTCTAACAGGAAAAGTAGCTTTCTTGTTAGATTACGAGTATTGTGTGATCTTTGTTTGTTGCTATTTCTTTAGACTTTTTTCAAGGAGCACATGGGAGTTCCTTTAGCGATGGAGCCTAACTTCAGCGACTATAGCTGCCAGGTAACATGTCTCACGAGAATCCATCTTTAATGCTAAAGTAATATAACATATGAGTGTGATTTTGGAAATCAATCAAAACAAATGATTCCCTGTGATAGCCATCCTCGTGCCTGATTTTTTTTTTCTTTCTTTCCGTTTTTTATTCAGCGATGTCATCATCTTCAATTCCATGTAACTAAATAATGTAGGAATCTCTACAGTGACATTGTGACAACTGAATAGAAATGCTTACATAATTCCGGTCCTCTTTATATTTGAAAGTCATTGATTATATTTTCTGGAACCTCTTATAAACTGTTGTAGGGAAACTCTAGTAGGAGACATTTAACACTAAAAAGTTTAGAATCATTTGCAAGTCATTTCATGTGCTTTTTTTACCCTTTTTTATTCTTTTTATATTATGTAATTTCGACACATTCTCAATGTGGCAG